CGACAGGAAGTGGAAGGGAAACATCGAGGCGTGAGTGGGAGGAGCTAGAGAAAATCTGGAAGAAAAAACATTTCTGAGGAACAGTTCCTGAGTCTGAGCCGTCATCTGCCCGCTGACCTCCACACGACCCCCGACGCTCCGCCACCCCCCACCCCCACATCAAAGGCCCCACATCAAAGCCGAGGTTACTTATTCATAATCCGATACAGCAGCAATTCAACTTTATCCGGTTAGAGACGAGATGAATAACGACACAGAGAGACGCAGCCGGAGATCTGCACTTTAACAAATACCTGGTTTATACATCATCAGGTTTTTTACATTCATGGCACCAACCTTATATTTATAGTTGAGTAAATCAGCCAGAATGAGTTTTACTTCGTAAACTAAAGCCAGAGGAAGCGGAGGAGCACGCTGACTGAAGAACATCAGGTTTTCATGTTCAGATAACTGACGACACAGATTAAATAAACGTCGTCTGGACCTCAAACATCTGCAAAGTAAAGGATCAGTGTTTGTGAGTCCACTGTCCACAGCTGCCGTCCCCCAGGTCCTGACTCATCATCAGATACTGATGTGGACGTAACCTCCCTCCACCTCTCGAATATTGTCCGAACAGTTTGACTGCTTCATCAGAGTGAACTCACAAACACTGAGTGTGTGAGGAGCTTGTGTTTCCTCTGATGTGTTCAGCAGCTCTGTGATGAATGTGTCGCTCTGCTGCTGCAGTTTAGTCTCGGAGCAGAAACATGCCTCTATATGGAGACGAGGCCTTCAGGGACACAGCGGCTCCTCCAGCCACCGACGCTGCCACAACATTCATCTCTGCACCAGGACGACCCCCCCCCCCCCACACACACACACACACACACACTCTTCTTTTTGCTTCCTGTCCTGTAAAGCGTAGATGAATTATGCATTTTATCAGATGACAAAAGACGCCTGTCAGCCGGAGCATAATCAAAGAGCTGCCTGCAGAGATCCATCCACTACAGAGCAAACCCAAACATGCACGGTCATGTTTAATCTTTACTGGGACTCCCTCCTTTTATTCCTCTTTAATGTTGGGGGGGGGGGGTTACTATACAATCTTTATGTTTTATGCATTTGAACATTTGTGTTTCTCTAAAAATATCGAGCTGGTTTTCTCTCTTTATTAATGAGACTGAGCTTCAACCAGACGAGAGCAGAGAGCGGAGGGTTACAGAGGGATGGAGAGATGGGGGGATGGGGGGATGGGGGGATGGAGGGATGGAGGGACGAGCAGGAACAGGTGAGTCTCCAGGTGAACTCGGATCATCAGCTGACGAGACGCTGACTGAACACGATCAGGAATCAGACGCTGGTGTTTGATTCACAGATTCAACAGATAAGAGACGAAAGCTGTAAATAAACTCAGACACGTTTACGTGGACGATGAACAGGAGACTGAGAAATGATCGGAGACGACAACAGAAGCATCTGCTGCATGAGAACTTAACATGTTGTGTCCTTCATGTAGTGTGTGTTATTTATATGTTAAACTGGGTTAGAGAGAAGCAGCATTAACTCTCGTCGATGAACGTTACATCTGACTGACACGACAATAGAGTTGACTTTGTCCACATTCATACAAAACGTCCCCGATTCAAAAGCTCAACTCTTCATGTTGTTGACGTTTCATCATCATGACATTTCTACTGAAAACCTCAGAATCAGTTCCAGGTTTTCATTTGACTGTTTCACATTCTGATCTCGTTAATGATCCTGATGAGTCGTTTCAGTCACTGCAGAGGTTTTTACTGAAACAACAACAGCCTTTTGTCTGTTGTTCTGTTTCTTTACTGTGAAGCTCAGTGTGTCACTGCTGCTGTTGTGTGTTGGTGAGAAAATAGTGACACACACGACAAACAGTGGTGTGTGTGTGTGTGTGTGTGTTAGAACAATACGAGCATGACCTATATATAAGTCAGGAACACCCGAACAATGCTGAGCTTATCACCCCAGTGAAACGCACTGATCCTCAGGGACGAGCAGCGTCGACGTCCTTCACACACCGAGTCCCAACACGTTCACAGAACACATGAACCTCAGAAACCCTGATCTGTTCTTCTTTAGACGATCTGTGTTCTATACATCAGACATGTGGGGGGGGGGGGGGGTGTAGAGCGTCCTGTTTAAACACCGGCCCTCTGGAGGACGCTGCGGTAGAGGTGGTAGTGATGGAAGTATTTTCATGTTTACAAAGGATGACCTTCTCGGTTTATTAATAAATAGAATCACATACTGAAGCCTCCCAGCAGGATTCTATGTTTTATGTATATCTCTTAAATCAGCTGCTCTAAAGTGAGTTACAGTATCAGACCGTTGTGAATAAACATCATCTGTATGAATATAGAGTTTTATACGTCACACACGTCCTGTGCTCCACTGTGGTTTAATCTGGGCTGAACTGACTCACACGGAAATCACCTCATGTAAGTTTTCAGGAAGTGATTTGATGTTTTCCTCAAACTCAGCAGGAGACAATAAAACGAGTGAGGAGAGCGGTTCAGGTTGAAGGGTTTCATAGTGTCGGCTGATTATCTTTTAATGTCTGCAGTGATTGGAGCAGCGCGGAGACACGCTGCTCTGTAATCAGCAGTTTGTTGTGCTCCAGCAGACAGATCCTGTTTAAGTAGATAATTACAGAGACCAGAGGAGGAGGAGAAATGTAGCCGAGGACTAGAGAAGGAAACTGAGTCTGAAGCTGGCGACACCAGAGCCACGGTTCAGGACGAGTCTCCGTGTGAAGACGTCTCGGCCTCGTGCACCTGCTCCACAAAAACATCATGAGAGCTGCAGCTGAACGAGAGCCGAGAGTATTTTAAACAACAGTGTTTCATTCACACTGCACAGTTAAATATACAGTCTGTCATGGGGGTAGATCCTTGTGCTTTATTGAAGCAGCGCTGGCTCAGAAACACTCGACGGGAAACCACTTTTAGAAATCCAATTAAAAAAGGAGGTCGAATATTCCGACGCAGGAGAGAGTCCCTGAAGTTCCGATGTTTCCGAGAGGTTTTATCTCATCAAAGAAAAACAGTCACACAAAGTTCACGTTAAAGTCGTCCCCTGAACCGTTAATGTCACGTGACACCACAACTGATAAACGTCGCGTCAACACGATCTGAAGTTAAAGTGAATAAACTCGTCCCGTAAATATGAAAATAAACATTTTATTTTGATATCTAATGTTTTGACTGATGTCGAGGTTTGAGTTGTTTGAGGATCATTCAGCTCCACAGCAACATGTGGAACGTCTGAGATTCTTTTGGTCTGATGAATGAAAGTGATGAAGCCTCGTCGAGGGAAACAAACGTTAACACTGCAAACAAGAGGGGGACGGGAAATCTGTTTGACTTAGATCACGGAGGCCGGGGCTGGGTGTGCTATGCTGTTGCCATAGCGACGGGGAGTCCTGAGATGACAGGGCTGTGCGTTCTTTGTTTTTTTGGGGGTGGGGGGGGGGGTGAGAAACCAAACAGCATTTGTTTCTGTCGAGAGCGTCACAAACCTTTTTGTTGAGGTTGGAAATTGTCTTTAAATCGTCGTTGAATTAACTTTCGACCGATTTTAACAGAACAAAACGTTTAAACTGAGACGAACTTGATTGATCCTCAAACGTATTTGTGTGAATGTGACTCTGGTACAAACTAATCACTGAAACACATAATGTGATTGTATGCACCAGCAATTAGACGGCAGCCACGCTGGATTCTGATTGGCTGCATTATTTTTAGAACGATTTTTGTGCCATTAATCCCCCCAGATTTTTTTAGGGTTGTTACCAGGCAACATCTTCTTCTTCTTCTGCCGTCGCATGAAGTTCTAATGTTTATTATAAACCTGAAAAGATAAGATGGTGCTGATAAAATATTCAGTTTAAAGGTTTTTCTGCTCGGACGTGAAACAGTTCAGTCTGAGGTCAACATGTTAAAATGACCTGATGGTGGCGCTACAGGACAACTTGTCCTCCAGGGGAAGATGAACATGTTTGGAGACGAATCCAGTGATTGAGACGTTTCTATAAAACCATCGTCGTGGTGCTACAGAGACGTTTGAATCCTGCTTCACGTTGTTCAGAGTTTGGAGACTTTTAACTGGAAGTCCGCAGCTCTTTACACTTCCTGTTCGGTTCTGAGTGATTTCCTGATCTTGTCGATCACCTTTAAGGCTCATGACCTGAATCCAGATTCAAAACGTCCTCACATCAGTTGTTCGATTCTGGATTAAAGTGGTGGACGGCTTCACAGTTTAAAGTGAGACAAAAAGAAATACTGAAGTACTTCTAAACTTACTTCCCCGCAGGTCTTTAGTTTTCTAACACTCGTTCAGTTCTTCATTATTAGTTTCAGTTATTTTTATAAGAAAACGTCACAAAGTCTGTTTCTGCTTCTGAAATGTGATTTTTTTTTTCACTTATATAAAAAAACAAACTGAACTTTGACAAATCGACTTTCTAAAGGTTTTATGTGTTTAACTGTGTCCTGACATTTCATGGAGAAAATATTCAGCTGAATAAAAATACAGTTTGAATCCATGTGAACAAACTGAGACACAGTTGAGGACAGAAGCTAAACTGAAGCTCACACTGAAACACTGAAACACTGCAGTCAAAGGAACAACCGGTTTAAAATAACGACAGGATGAGAACTCGTGTTTCTGGGGCGTACGTCTGACACTCGCTGGTTGAACCAGACGCTGGGTCCTCGCTGTAAAACCAGCGTGAAGCAGAACTCGGCACCGCAATGCAGATCCATAAATTTCACAAATGAGCTGCGGTCTCTCTCCCAACATGAGACGAGCGGCGAGGGAACATGTGACCTTTCAACCTCTGGCTGATCCACACCTGAGTGTATTTGTTCACAGGTCAGAGGTCGTCATCACACCCACATGATGAATTAGTGCAACCTTCATCCTCACCATCATCATCACCATCATCACTTCTACTCACACGAAGAAGAGAACAATCAGTCAGATTGTGGATTTTAACTCTTTTAATATTCAAAAAATACTTCACTTCTGTTTTTCTTGTACATGAACCTGGATCTCTGTTGGTACGTGGAACGTCTCTGTCAGGAAATGAAAAGTGCAAAGTGGTGCACACTGTGTCCGCAGAGAAAAGTCTGCACGACGTCACCGACCCCAGAAAAACAAAGTGACCGCAGCCACGTGCAAAATCAAACGTGTGTCTCCACGGTTTCAAGTCCAGTGGATGAGAACAACAAAGTGATGCAGCGGCAGAGAACAGGCCAGCTGTTCCTGCATCACGTCAACGCTTGAGTCTTTTTGGTTCTCGTGTGTTAGCTCGCACGGCTTCACAGCATCAAACAGCTTTAATCCAAACGTTACCGCTTCTTCTTCTGCTTCAGGGACTTCCTCCTCTTTAAGATCATCTCGTACAGCTTGTCCATGCCCTCGTGCAGCCCCTCGCCGATGATGGCGCACGCCGGCTGGATGTGGTAGGTGGTGGCGGGGGCGAGCTCTTGCAGGGCCAGCTGCTTCTCGATGTCCGCCACCGGCAGAGACTTGGGCAGGTCCTGCTTGTTGGCGATGACCAGCAGCGGCGTCCCCTGGTTCTCTGCGAACTTGGTGACTTTGTGCAGCTCCGTCTTGGCCTCCTCCAGCCGGTCCACGTCCACAGAGTCCACCACGTAGATGATGCCGTCGGTGCAGCGGCTGTACGACTTCCACAGGGGCCTCAGCTTCTCCTGGCCCCCCACGTCCCAGAAGTGGCAGCTGATGCCCTTGGCGGTGCCGTTGCTCAGCTTGATCTTCTCGGTGTTGAAGCCGATCGTCGGGACCGTGTTGACGAACTCATTGAATTTGAGTCGGTAGAGGACGGTGGTCTTCCCGGCTGAGTCCAGCCCCAGCATCACGATGTGCAGGGACTGGAAGGCCGAGATGTTGGAGAAGCTGTTGCCCATGTTCAGCGTCTCACTGGAGGATTGTGGGAAAGAAACAGTCGCTCATTAAATCCTGCGTTCAGGGTGTAGAACTCCTCAGGTGTGGCCTGGGCCCCGGGATGTCTCCAGCCCTGGTGCCTCTCTGAGGTGGATGTCCCCCGTGTCTCTGGCCCCGGGGTGGATGTCCCCCGTGTCTCTGGCCCCGGTGTGGATGTCCCCGGGGTGGATGTCCCCCGTGTCTCAGGCCCCGGTGTGTCCCTCAGCAGGACGCAGTACGGATCATCATTATTCTCCTCACGTGTTTACCGTCGGGAAGAAGCTCCACAGTTTAACGGTGTCAGCGCTGAAACGACACCGACGATCACAGACCTTCACCGGCCTCAGCTGCTGCTGCTCCCCCCGTGTCCTCTGCGGAGCCTCGGTCCTGCGACCCGTGATCCCACCGACAGATCCCCCGGTTCTAAACGCTCCTCTCCCCCGGTTGTCTCCGCTCCTCTCCCCCGGTTGTCTCCGCTCCTCTCGGCCGCTGCAGCTGCTCTGTGACTGAGGCTGAAACAACAGGAGCAGCCCCGCTATGCTCCACCCCGCCCCACCGGGACATGTGCCAATGAGACAGCGAGCGTCCACCAGAGCGCGCACACACACACACACACACACA